TGCCGTTTGTGGGTGCGTGCAGGACCTCTCGCAGCCGCTGAGTCTCGTGACCGAAGTACTTGCCGTTCGGGAGCCTCGAAGCCCAGCGATCCACGTTGAGTGTGGAGCAGAAGCAGCAGATTCTCAAGGGCGCGGCGTCCGGCTTTCTCAACATGCACGAAGGCCGGTTCATCCACCGTGACATTGCGGCCCGGTACGATCTCGTCTCTTGCCTCAGTGATGAGATGATATCTGGTATCGATGCATCTGACCATCCAATATCTGAACTAGCAACTGCCTCGTGGACGCCACGCTGAACGCGAAAGTGTGCGACTTTGGCATGTGTCGGCGCGTCGGCGCGGTGGGTGGCAGCTACTTTGCGCACGGGACGGGGCCGCTCAAGTACATGGCGCCCGAGTCGCTGACGCCGCCGCATGCGTTTTCGTACCAGTCGGACGTCTACTCGTTCGGCGTCCTGATCTGGGAGACGTACCACGGCGTGAGTCCGTTTGCAGGTCTGAGCGGGGCCGAGGCGGCGGCGCGCGTCTTGTCGGGCGACCGATTGGCGTTGTCAACGGCGATTCCGCTGCATCTGCAAGACCTTGTGACGCAGTGCTTTCGCGACGACCCGTCCAAGCGGCCGAGCATGGCGCAGGTGCTCATGGCGCTCGAGCGCCGGTAGCCATCGACGCCGGGTAACCTTTCAATGTATCAATATTTGACCAGACAATTATTGAAGTCTCGTGGTATAGACCACGTGGGCTTATACTAGACGCTGAGTGTGTTTATGGAGACGCGTTGTCCATTTTTAAAGGACATTTATTTGCTTTCTTGAATGGCTGAGCTGACTTGAGGGTCAATAAGATGATTTTTATTGGCTTGTATAGTTGCGTACAGTAGTTTGCGTGGGCTCGATTAGCCCTTGCCCTCCGTGCTGAGGGTGAATAGTCTGTCGTTCACTGTGTCGACCAGTCTCTTGGTCATCGTTCTAAACAAGCTGCCCCGGTCGCTTGTGAGCACTGACATCATCGCAACGCTTCCGTGGCAGCTGGCAACGTCGCTTGTTTGTACTAATGTGCCCGCCTAATGTACCGGGAGTACGCTGACAAGACCACGTCCGATGAACCGATGGCGGTCAACTGGAGGCCAGCAAGAGGCCAGCAGCATGGACCGCCAAGAGGGAGTCTGTCACAGCCTCGAACGAAGCGTTTAATCCGCGTATTTGTACACGCAAATGACAAGTCCGTGGCATCGAGAATCGAGAACGAAACCATCGTGGACGTGGCAGCCCCACCTTCCAGTGTAGACTGACCGACGTGGCGCCATGCATTCAGATGTACTCGACTCGTTTCGGCGTGTTGCTACTGGTCCAACTAAAAGTGGAGGTGATGCTACGAGACGATCCCACTAGAAGAATGACGGGACTCCGTTGGCGTGAAACGTGGAAGCCAACTGAAAGCCACCGAGTTCCGACGAGTCAAGGTCCGTCCTTGGGCGCGAGACGAGCTTCATTGAGCTCTCAATCGCTCAATTGTGCAGCTCCAGCAGCAGCATTACGTCCAGTGCATCTTGTACTCGCACAGCCGACGGGATCGTAAGAGACGGTGTCGATATTGCCTGGTTCGATTGAGACACAACTGAGAAGCGCCCATCCACATTGCCGTTTGCACTCATAATCGAGATGGCCATGACGGCGCGGGTCGGTGTCTGGGTGCTCGGGACCGACAGGTCGAACCGGCGGCTCGTGCTCTACGTCGCCTTCTCGTACATGGCGCTCATCCTTCTCCACGCAATCGCGCTCGGGCTTTGGCTGTTCTGGCTCGTCATGCTGCTGCTCCTGCAGCTCCTCTTGTGGCCGTGCCAGCCGTCGCGGACCTTCTTTCGCGACTTTGTCCGCGAGACCGTCTGCTCCGGGTACCTCGAGTGGCTCTGTCGCTGGGACGTGCGCGTCCGCAACGTATACGCGGTCAAGCTCTACGTCGAACCGACGCTGCCCGTGGACCTGCAGGCGCACGTTGGCCGCGTCTTTGCGTACTTTCTTTTTTGGAAGTCGTTTGAATTTTGCATCGCGGCCATAACGCTGTACTTGGTCCAGCTGCCGTACTCGACCTGCCATCCCGATGGCTATGCATTTGACACGGCCACGCGCGCGTATGTGGCCGTGGCGCGCGACTGTCACTACGCAGAGTGGTCGATCGCGCTTGTGCTACCGGTGCTTCTGCACCTCCGCCTCGTTGCATGGTGCTCGGTGCGTATGTGCGAGATGTGCATTGTACCCATCTTTCGTCCGTCGCTCGCCACGTACCAGAGCCTCGTGGACGTGAACGGATGCGAGGACGCACCGTTGCGGCTGCGTCCGACGGCGCCCCGCGGCGAAGACACGCTCGGTATCACGACTGTCGCTTACCCGATGAGCACATACTGTATTCCCGTGCCGCAGCACGGCCCGAACCGCCCATGACGCCTCTCCCGCTTCTCGAATCGCCGCCATCGAAACCCAGCAAAGCGTCGAAATCCCGACTTTTTGGTCTGCGCCGGCGACGCACATCGGAAGAGGCTCAGGCACACATGCCCCGTCCCGACCGCAAACTCAGCGACAGTGACGAGGTGAGCGCAACGGACATGACAATGCAACGTCTCCGCTTCGTCACGGAGCCCATTCAAGCCGTCGACCGGGTGTACGACGCATTTGACAGGTCATACCAAGCTCCACCGACGACCACCGGTGCTTTCCGTGGCGTTAATCTACCAAAAGAGGGTACATCACCTTGTGAAGCTGCCACCACGCAAGTCAAGTACGATGAGCTCTCGCCGACGAACCGCCCGTCGCAGTCGTTCCAGCTGCCCCGCGTCTGGCGCGCCATTGACGACCCAACAATCTCTGCTCGGTCCTTGAGCACGATCGACCCGGTGCACTTTTCAGCCTTTTGCCCGCC